CAAAGTGTTCCTTATATTCCTTGCCATGGCACATATTAATCTACCAAGGTTTTTTTTAGCACACCAGTCCTCTCAATGTGTCAATACTAGGAACTTCCAATAAGAATACTGTCTCTTTGCACAATGTGAATATAACCTAACAGTTTAAAGTTGCACCTGTTCAGGTTTAAAAAAAACCAAAGCAATTACAAGTTTATGTTGCCTTGATTATTACACACAAACTGTAGGGTGATCTAGATTTATTCGCATAAAACATGTGAGTGACCAAATTTCCTTTTGAATAGTATTTGGCCTATTATGACTTAAAAGTGTTAATATTTGCTGCATGCCATTGGATTAAGTTGATAATTTTTTTTCTAGAACTTGCTGATCCTAGCTCCCTTAATGAACAGAGCACTGGGTTGTTCCTGTACCAGTAAACATAATTTAGTTTTGAACATAAGGAATTTGTTGGTACAGCAACTTTATAAACAGATTTTATACAAAACTCCTATAATCTGCTGTTCTCTTCATTGGCTACATCTAGAGGAAATGATATTAACATTATATTGTTACTCTTTTCTTATTGCTATGTGTTTTCATTAGGCCCTAAAAAAAAGCACTTTGTAAGGGATCATAGATTTATTCTTACGAGGAAGCTCCGAGCATGCTCGGAGGATGCTCAGAGCTTTTTCAGTAGGCTCTTCTCTGCAGTTTATGTGAAAATAATTATCATGATCCATTAAGATGTCAATCAAATCTACACCACTTCTATAATAAGGAAAGTAGAGCATTATAGAGGAAGCTCAATTAACACCTGTGTAAACATCTAATCTATTCAAATAAATTTTGCCTGAAATTTTACAAAACTATAGAATAGATTAGAAATTCTTCAACAGTACTGTGTAATGCTTGGAAAGAAATCTCAAGTCTCCACAAAAAGTGAAAGTCATTTAACAAAAAATATACAATTATTATAATTTTAAAATAATCATTTCTTTTTTTATAATAAAAAAAATTCTCAAATTTTATAATTAGATGATATGATTTAAATATAGTTTATATTATATAATATGCTACATATAAGTTATCAAGACACAAACAACAGTCAGGGGGCGATACTAAACGAGTTATTTTTTTAGTTACTTATATTAATAGGTATTTTTTGTTTTTTTAAATTATTTGATATAATCTCAATTGTTATTTTAAATGTCAAAAGTGGACTAAATGTAGTTTTTAAGAATTTTTATATCATTTCATTAAGTAAAATTAAGTATTTATCCAACTTGAGATGAGTATAGAGAGATTACTTTAAAAATAATGACAAAAATATTACTTTTATAAATTAAAATAAAACTAAGCATACTTACAATTATTTAAGGAACATATGTAATTGTTTTTGATAAATATTTCAAATTATAAATAACCTCAAGTCGTAATTAAATCACAAAGTTCCATATTGAAAACAAGGTTGTTTCAAATATTACTTATATATCATGAATAAGTAACTTCTGTTAATATTATTTCTATAGGTGTCCATTCATACAGGTTTTACAAGCTTTACCAAATTTTCACATCTGGTCATTTTCCCCATGCAGTATAAAACTATTTAAATCCTCCTGAAACACTAATTGCCTTTCTGATGCCACACTTCTTGGTCATAGATTGGTCTCTTGGGGCTATTAAAATAACATTTTCCTTCAAAATCTTAGAGATGAACAAATATAAATGGATGGAACTTTGTGATTTAATTACGACTTGAGGTTATTTATAATTTGAAATATTTATCAAAAACAATTACATATGTTCCTTAAATAATTGTAAGTATGCTTAGTTTTTCGAAGATGTATAAAATAATTTATAAAAGTAATATTTTTGTCATTATTTTTAAAGTAATCTCTCTATACTCATCTCAAGTTGGATAAATACTTAATTTTACCATGGAAGTATTATATTGACAGGAACTCCAACGAAAAATTAGCACATTCCCATCCCACTGATTTCTTGAAGAAAATAAAAGGTTCCGACTCAGTTTGTCAAGTACGTGATAACTCCTTTGTGGGGTATCTGCGATGCCGCCTTCGCCTTTTCTGTTAACTGAAGCTGGTCTTATCACGTGATTTGGTATCGAGTGTCTTATCTACCTACCAATGTAAATAAACACGGAAACTCCCGTGGTTATTTGCGAATCGCCAAAGTAATAACGACACCTGTTTCCGTTCAATAAATAAAGACAAAAGCTGGAAAGATCGAAAAAATCGGTCCATATTTAACAGAATGACATAAGAAAATTAACTGCATTCTGAAAGAGGGCAAGCTTATTTTTAGTTTTGTTTAATATGTTTTAATCATTGAAACTTGGAAATCGGGAAATATCCAATATCAAAAATTACATGTACTTAAAGTCGGGTGTTTGCGGAAAACAATGTGATGCATGTGTAGTGTGCCGGATGCTGCCGGATAGCTTAAATTTAAGTTTTAAGGTTGTTAATTTTTATCGAATGTTACAAAAAAATTTATTGGTTTCTCTATCGTCTCAATTTGAAAAATGTTATTAACGTACGTATTAAACAAATATGTTTTAAAGACAAAAAGAGCTTTATAATTACACGCACGTGATGACCTCTACATAGCAATATCAGGTTACGAGACAGATAAATTGTTACACCTTTTATAATAAGTCCAAAGTTGTAAACAAACCTTAAACATTCAACCTAGTCCGAGATTACTCTGACGTCTGACAGATTTTTTTTACGAATGGCATTTATTAATTCTGGATCGGCATTTAAAGAAATTTGGTTTTTTTGTTGTTTTTTTGTTGTTGTTGTGAAAACAGTCACGGGGATTTCGTTTCTTTGTATTTGTTTTTACGCAGCAAAACCGGAAAAACTGACATGGCCGGTTAATGTCGTTTCCTTGACAATTAAGTACACATCCTGTTATTTCGGTATGTTCTGTAATTACGATCAATCACGAGGTTCCAAAAATTTGATCGGAACCCATGCATCCATATGACATGTCGAGTAAATTAACAAATACTTAACGATTTTGCGGCATCGCACTATAAACGTTTGAAGTCCGCTTGTTGGAGTTCCTGTCAATATAATACTTCCATGATTTTACTTAATGAAATGATGAAAAAATTCTTAAAAACTACATTTAGTCCACATTTGACATTTAAAATAACTATTGAGTTTATATCAAATAATTTAAAAAAACAAAAAATACCCTATTAATATATATTAAGTAACTAAAAAAAATAACTCATTTAGTATTGCCCCCTGACTGTTGTTTATGTCTTGATAACTTTTATGTAGCATATTATATAATATAAACTATATTTAAATCGTATCTTCTAATTATAAGATTTGAGAATTTTTTTTATTATAAAAAAAGAAATGATTAATAAATATAATAATTGTATATTTTTTGTTAAATGACTTTCACTTTTTTGTGGAGACTTGAGATTTCTTTCCAAGCATTACACAGTACTGTTGAAGAATTTCTAATCTATTCTATAGTTTTGTAAAATTTCAGGCAAAATGTATTTGAATAGATTAGATGTTTACACAGGTGTTAATTGAGCTTCCTCTATAATGCTCAACTTTCCTTATTATAGAAGTGGTGTAGATTTGATTGACATCTTAATGGATCATGATAATTATTTTCACATAAACTGCAGAGTAGAGCCTACTGAAAAAGCTCCGAGCATCCTCCGAGCATGCTCGGAGCTTCCTCGTAAGAATAAATCTATGATCCCTAACATCCAATGTTTTGACTACTCTATAGTCTTAATCATCAATCCTGTTACTAATTTGACTGAGTAATACAGGTACAAGAGGATTTGTAAGAATCACACAAGTTCGAAAGTAAGAATTTTTGAAAAATGGAGACCCAATTATAAAAAAAAATCAAATTGGATGTATTTCTGATGTAACCTAATCATTTTCAAAAGAGATTAAAGCTGAGTAAACATACTTGTTTGTATAACAGTTAAAATGACATGCTTATGGTGACCGGTAATTAACACCATGTTGATCATTCAAGCAGAGCATTCGTGTGTTGAACATATTTCACCTGATATAAAAAGGAAACGAATTTAAATGACCCAAGCCGAGATTAAATGAATAGCTAGAATTAAAACTCATTAATTAAAAAAAATTAAAGGATTAAGGCAGTTACGATAAATTCATAATAATTTAATGTAAAGGAATCACCTCATCAGAGACCATTCAGAACTTATTTCGTTCCAGGAGTGATTTCATAATTTATAGTGACTGACCTTTATAAATATTTGTGTAGACTATTGTTTTATTTGTTCATGATGTGCATCTGTACTTGTGTGTTTAATTATCAAGGACCAAAAAATTTGGAAATTGAATACACAATCATAAGGTGTCATATTGAAAAAAAGGCACACTGTTCAAAGTATCTAGTTTACACAAATCTGACACCATATTTAATGATTTCCAAATTTATGACGACACACTCGACCTCAGATAAGTCGAATACTTTGGTCCGGTCCATTCGAATTCGACACAACAAGGTTCGACTGAATTTCTAAATTATTTTAATTATTGGAAAGGCGAAAAAATCTTTTGAATCAGTTGGGAGTCAGGTAATATTTATTTATTGCTCTAACCACCTTAACCAATAACTTGAAATGCTGTTTTCAGACTTTTTATGAATGAAAATGACATTAACTGCAAAATTAGATGTAGAAAATGTTGATTTAGTGTCACATGACAATACACACTTCCTTAGATCCGCCTTTGGGACAAAAGTCATGGATGTCTGAAGTGACCATGTCCAGCAACTTTATTGTTGTACCATCGAAGGTGCTTGAGTCATTGGTGTGTGATATCAGTATACCTCAGACTGCAGACTTTGGACTGTTGCAGATCTAACTTGATCATTGTGGCAACAGTTGGCTGTTTTCTGGGACACAATCATTTTTATTAACTTTAAAATCAATATAAATGGGAAGTCATCATTTACTAAAATATATTTTATATTGACAGTGTGTGCAGATTTAATAAAGGGAGCAAAGGAGAAGTCTTTGAAGGTTAAAGGACCAGTCCGTATGCCAACCAAGGTGCTTCGTATTACCACACGTAAGACACCCTGTGGTGAAGGTTCTAAAACATGGGATAGATTCCAGATGAGGATCCACAAACGTCTGATTGATTTACACAGTCCTTCAGAAATTGTCAAACAGATTGTATCCTTTTTTATGTATTTTACATTAACATCACATGCCATAAATGGGATAAGAGAGATGAAAAAAATAAACTATTTTTTTCATTACAAACCATAGGAATTATAGTAGCACACGTTCATGAGATATCAATTTTTTTCATAAATCTTTACACCAGGAATCAATCAATGATTTGTGCTAGATAAATGCAAAGTTTTTTTAAAATTCAAGCACTATGTACTTTGACTGCCATTTAGAAAATGACATCTGAAATTTGGAATAATTTTCGTTGACATTCGTGCAAAATCCGATGCTTGTGATTTTTTAGCAAAAAGTAAGGTTATGTCACAATTTTGCAAGAACGCATTTATCTATTTGTATATATGCATGCCCAAAACGGCATTGAAGTTTTTTCGAAAATGTTTTTAAATTTATTTCATTAGCATGCAGTTGCAAATGTATGTCTAAATCAGAAATCACTGTGCAAGAATTAAAATTACTAGTTTTCTTACATATCGCATAAGAATAACTACTTTAAAAGTAAAACAACTGAAATTATGTAAAATATTTAATTTCTTTAAGATTTCAACATTAGAAGAACTTCAAGCTTAAGATAAAGATCAACTGTGAAACACCCAAGTATGAAAAGAAAAGATATTTCATAGAGGAATATTTCCCAGTTCAGTAGTAATAGAAAAATTAAAAGTGAAATGAGTTGTGAGAATGAAGCAGTTGAAAATATTTTATATGTTTTCATCCTTAACTTAAAACCAGACATCAATTAGCATTGAACCAGGAGTAGAGGTTGAAGTGACCATTGCTGATGCATAAAGGACTCCATTCCTTGAAAAATAAAAAATAGAAAAAGGGGTTTATGTTTTGTTAACTTTTACGTATTACTCCTCAGTTTTTTTTTTTTTTTTTAATTTATGTGAAAAATAATGACCCAAATTAAACATACCGGTAGTTTCTGTTTCCTTAGGTTAGTAGTACATGTAGCAAACAGTAGTCTTGTCAATTTTTATGTATTACATGTTTTTCTTTTATCCTGAGTTCTTGTAGAGTATGAGCTGTGATTTCTCCAGGCTGTTAAGGGCTGTGTAATTCACATTTCAACGCTTTGCTATAGAACTGACTGCATCGCTATCCAATCAAATCCATTTATTTTTCACTTGAACTTACCTGTATAATTTGGATCACATAATCACCTGGTTTATTTGTCTGAGATTGTTACTTAACATAGACAATGTCAAATATCCAAGGGACCAGTTGAATGATCAAAATCTTCTTTGACAAAATTTTTACTGTCAAAAAGACCAATTTCTTTCTCCAGTGGTTTTTTACTTAAAATGATTAAAAGAAAACAGAAACTTCATGGAAGGGGAGAAAGAACTCTGTGGAAATTCTCATTGAGTATTCAGTATGAATATTTAGAGGTATGGCTGGAGCTTTTTATAGCTTACTATATGTTAGGGGTTTTGTTCATTGTTGGAATAAAACCACTGATTCATAGTCCATTGTTTTCTATGTTGAATTCAAATATTTCAAGCATTCATAGCTATTTTGTCAAGTTCAAACAAGTTTCATGTCAAAACTATACATTACCATGACGAGCTAAAAATTCAACATCCCTTTAATTGCATATTAGAGTGCACTGATTCCCGAAAGTTTGGTAGTACAAAAACAAGTACTTCTGATCTAAACAACAGGGCAAATATGCCCTCCTATTTTATATCTTTTTAAGAAACTGAACAAGGATTCTATAGTGATCCAAAGTCCTGAAGCTTTCATTTCATACCAAATTTACCCAAATATTTTACTTATTGACAAAGTTGCAGCTTTGTGTAGGAATTATTTTTGTGAACCGAATTTTCGAAGGAAAAATCGGTTATTGATTAGGGGATGTACGGCAGGCGGCTGCCAAACTGTGTCCATTCATTAACATGAAAACGCTTTGACGAATTTAGATATGTTGTTTCCTGTGACTAAATGAAGGTCAAGTTCAAGTTTCACAATTTTAGCTTTTCTCGTTGTTGAGTTGTAGACCTTTCAGTAGCCAAAAGTGATATTTATTATATGATTGAGTTATTTCCCTTTGAACAGAAATGGTGTAATTAATAAGTTTATGTATAGAAAGTCTATCAATGATTGTATCTGTTCAATTGATTTTAGTCAGGAGCTGTCAAAAATTTCTTTATAACTATTTTTTTTAAGTCATGTGTTTTGAAGGTAGATGTCATTTTTATACGCCCGTTTACGGGACGTATTATGGTATACCTCTGTCTGTCTGTCCGTCCGTCGTCAACATGTCAGACATTAACTCAAAAACGCTTTAACCAATTTGCATAAAACTTTGGTGAATTGTTTATATCTATTGACGTGAGCTCTCTTTCGTTTTTTTATAAATTTTAGATTTTACGTTTCCGAGTTATGGGGTTTTATTCATTAAAAAAAGGGGGATTTTCCAGTTTTCAGACTATAAGTCAAGAATGCTTTCATAAACTTGCAAGAAATTGTGGTGAATTGTTTATATCTATTGACATGAGCTCCCTTTCGATTTTTATATATTTTAGATTTTACGTTTCCGAGTTACAGGGTTTTATTTATAAAAAAAGGGGGATTTTCCAGTTTTCGGACAAAAAATCAAAAATGCTTTCAGCAGTTCTTGTGAAACTTTGGTGAATTGTTTATATCTATTGATGTAAGCTCCGTTTAGAATTTTATAAATTTTACATTTTACATTTCTGATATTACATTGAGAATTAATTGAACTTTATTTGTTTATAGTCTGACAACAGAATTACTAAGTATTGCACAACAGCAAGAAATCTTTAATTGAATATAAATTCAATTCATATAACCAATTTCAAGTTCTTTGACTACATTTATTCAGAAACCTATAATATGTCAAATATTTAATTACAATCCAAATTCAGACCTGTATCAAGCTTGAATATTGTGTCCATTTTTGCCCCAACTGTTCAGGGTTGGACCTCTGCGGTCGTATCAAGCTGCGCTTTGCAGATTTGTGAATATCATTTTCATAAGTTAATTATCTATTTTTATTAAAGGATAAATTTCATTACATTACATTGTGTAGATAAAGTTGTTGACATTGATAGATAAGTTGCAGATCTATATTAGTTTGTGATAAATGAAAGAAAAAATATTGGGAACTATTAATTATAAATATAAAGTTTGATTACACTAATTTTCACCTGTATAATCAGATAAGAAAGCATGTGTTAAATATCAACCACACAATTATAATTAGAGTTACAGATTTATTTGAAAATTTTCTGTTTCCTAAGTGTTGATGATGATAACCTCTGTAGGACAGTATAAATATAGTTTGAAATTTGCTGTTCATTATTAGACATTTTGGATTTTTAATCAGATATTGATTTGGGGATGGAGGGCGGGTGGCTGCCAAACTGTCTGTTCATTTACATGAAAACGCTTTGACGAAAATTTAGATATGTTGTTTCCTGTGGCTAAATGAAGGTCAAGTTCAATTTTCACAATTTTAGCTGTTCTCGTTGTCGAGTTGTAGACCTTTCAGTAGCAAAATTTATTTTTTAGTATATGAATTTGAGTTATATCTCTCTGAACAGAAATTGGTAATTAATTTCTATGTCATCTGGTCTTTTTGTTTAGTTTGAGTTATTTCCCTTTGAACAGAAATTATTTAATGAATAAGTATTTCATCAAAAATTGAATTCTTTGGGGTTCTTTGATCTGCTGATTCTAACAATGTACTTAGATTTTGGATATTGGACCATAAAAGGTAAATGTCCGATTTCAAATTTTTCAGTTCTTTGACCACATTTATTTTGTGTCACAAACCTTATGCTGTGTCATATATTCAATCACAATCCAAATTCAGAGCTGTTTTAAGCTTAAATGTTGTGTCTATACTTGCTCAACTGTTCAGGGTTCGACCTCTGCTGGAAAATCTGGTTTGATGTCACTCTGACAGCCTCTTGTTTAAATATGTACTACTTTGTTGTATGTTCTTGCATACAGGGCCCAAATTAGTTATTCTATACCTGTTGAAGGCAGCAGGGTTTCCTGTAATTGTGTTCATATTCGTTCTATGGTCTCTGTAGGATAGTTGTCTCATTGGCAATAATACCACATGACATATCTTTTTATTTTTGTCTACTGCGACTCAAGTCACAGAAGGAGAGACATAGGTATTGCTTTTCCGGCAGCAATGATGATGACAAAGATGGCATCAACAATTGTTTTCTGCTTACCGTTAAGTCTGTTTGATAGGGAGTACTTGTGATAGATAAATAAAAATTTCTGTAAAATTGCACTACTATCAGTACATAACAGTGTCAAGAAAAATGAATTTCCTCCTCTTTCCCAGAGTCACAATATTTTTTAGAAACTACCTGATGACCAACCACAACTACCATACACATCCATCTGAACTCCACTTGTAGCATTATTCAAACACCAAAAAAATATTGATTAATTTAATAAAAGGTTTCCTACCAAAAACAGCTGAAACTATATTCCTTTTTTGAGCATTTTAAAAACTTTAATATTGTCCATTGATAAATAAATTAAATTTTTTGGTGTGCTGGTACTTGGATATGCTGAATATAATGGGTGTATTTAGATTTTGGATATTGGACCATAATATGTAAAAGTCCACAAGTTTTTTACCACATTTATTCTGTGTCCAAACACCAATGCTTTGTCAAATATTTAATCATAATCCAAATTCAGAGCTGTAATAAGCTTGAATGTAGTGTCCCTACTTGCCCCAACTGTTCAGGGTTCGACCTCTTCGGCCCGCACTGCATTTTATAGTGTATTGAATGATAATAAGGTACATGTTTGTCTTGTAGGGTTCTTATGACCTTGAACTTATTTTCATGGATCTGGATAATACAAGTTTATGTGATATCTGTAGTTGAACTTCCAAGTCACTCTTTGAAATTCTGTACACAAATTTGCGTTCAGCATTGCACAAGAATGTGCTCTCATGCACTTTGTAGACCTGAATGTCAGTAATCGACTCTGAAGTATTAAAGATTTTTATAGCCGATTTAGATTTTAAAAATGGGGGTGTTCTAGAAAAATCAAATTTTACCCCACCACTTACTAAACAATTTGGGCATATGAACTTTAAAACGCCATAGCTTGAAGAATGCTTAGGGTATCAAGCATAACAATTTGTGTCGCTTGTCTGCCAAGCAACGACCATGGCTAAAATAGGACATACGGTAAAGTTCAAAGTTGGGCAATAAAGATGGAGACAGAAAAAAGAGTAAATTGTCCAAGTAGTTCTTCCACTTGATTAATGATATATATTTTTTTGACTTGAACATTGGTTTTCGATGCATAACCGCATATCATTGGTATTTAGTAGTAAGAATATGGGTGACATGTCTTCCTGTGGACCTAAAATCTGGGTTGTAGTGTGATTCATTGTATATTAAAACGCTGGGGTTATATAACCATCAACATGGTCTCGTCCTGATATGCATGTAATATTTGCCACTGCACATTTAACACAAATCTATCCATCAAATTTTATCATTTCTAACGGCGAAAATGATGTCAATAGATATAAGAAGATGTGGTATGAGTGCCAATGAGACAACTCTCCATCCAAGTCACAATTTGTAACAGTAAACCATTATAGGTCAATGTACGGCCTTCCAACACAGAGCCTTGGCTCACACCGAACAGCAAGCTATAAAGGGCCCCAAAAATGACTAGTGTAAAACCATGCAAACAGGAAATCCAACGGTCTAATCTATATAAGAAACGAGAAGCACTTGTGAACCACATCAACAAACGACAACCACTGAACACCAGGTTCCTGACTTTGGACAGGTTACTGAACGGAAA